GGCTTGGTGTCCAACCTCAGGGGAGCCCTGGCAATCCCCTGACTTTCTATGGAGACCAGCAGAGAGAAATGTGCAACAGAATGGAAATCACAACCCTCTCAGCCCTCCCAGATTGCTATTGAAAGCACACACATTTACAGTACACTGGTTAAGACACCCAACGAAGCATTGATAATGAGGGAGAGAGTGAGAATGTGTTACTTAGGCAATATTTGCAGGCAAATACAAGGAGAGAGTCAACTCTTGTTTTCATTCACCCCTCTAGAGGAGTCGGCTATCAGCAGTGGCCTGTGTGCTTTAGCCCTTTGATGCAGTGTTAGTGATCTTATGAATGACCGTCATGGGGTATGTGTGAGGGGATTTCAGATGGAGGAGGGCTGGGAAAAAGAGCCCTTAACAGTAGGTATACCTGAAATGTGCAATCACCTGCCACAAAAAGAGAGAGAGAGAGAATTAAACACTGGGGGAGAAGAGAGAAAGTGAGAGTGGCATCCATAAAATAATTATCATAGACAGGCGTGACATGCCTTGTAGGGCTGATTGCCTCCTCTGTGCTGGTAACAGGGGGGTTTCAGAGGGAGTACACTCTGCAGATGACTACATTATTTATAGATGAAAGAGGATCCAAAACAGAGCGATCAATGCACAGATGAGACCGGCTACCCAACGACTCCAACCTGGGTGTTTGAGTGCACAGCAGAAGGAGACGTGAGCGCTGCAGAATGGGCAGGTGCAGGGCTATTTTAATGGCTCCCTGCCCCCTTTCCCCTAAAACAACCAGCTATTAAACAGCCACTTCCATCCTTCTATCTGTGGGGGGAAAAACTCCAGTCTTGTCCTCATTTGGGAGAACCAGTAAATGAGCCAGCATGACCATTGAGGAGTTACGGCCATTTGGGCAGATCAATCAGAGCATTTTGCGGCCATGTTCCCACATTTGAACACATTCCTGCACACAAGCATCCTCACAAATCTTTTGTTATCACCAAAGTGGCCGCTGTGAAACCACTACACCATGTGTGATACGGACTGCTCATGCTAGCCAGGCCGGTGCAAAGGGATAGGAAGTAGGACCTCAGAGAGTACATTAACCCACACCGATCTGCCAAATACAGCAGCAATTTCACACCTGAGTGGATAAAAACATGACCATTCATTTTTGCTGGTGTCAGGGGAAACCTCACGGCTTAAATTCAACCATCGTGTATGAGACATATGTTCCTCATCATTCAAGAGAGTTTGCAGCAGCTGGGGAGGACACTGCATTTATTTCATTATAATTACCTATTGAATTACTTTCTCAAATGATTTGTCTTACAATCATCTTCTGGTGTTTAGATATCATTTCACAGTTTAGTGTGATCACATGACATTTTTTGTATGACTAACTCAAATTGGCCCTGTTCTATGTGTGGGTTGGTGAAAAACAAAACAACAGCATTTCAGAGGGATCCCTCATTCATGATTGTACTTAAACAGCAATTGTAAACAAAATATAAAGTATGTTAAGTGTGGTGTTTTTTACTTTAGGATTAGATAAGAACTGTTTAACATTTTAAAGAAAGCAGTTATGAATTGTGTTGAATTGTGATTTTTTTAGGTGCTGTGGCTATGCTTTACTACATATACATAGCTTGTTGCACTATACATAATTTGCATTAAGTGATCCAGGAAAATCTGGTTTCCTTAAGAATAAAGGGCATGTGTCAAGTCTCATTGAAATAACAACTGGCACCGCTGTGTTTAAAGAGAGGGTCTGAATCATTCTTAATGCGTTAAATCTCTTTTAAACTCCTTCTATTTAAAATTTACCAACAAACTATTGTTTTCATTTCACTGCAGCGCAGTTATTTGATATTTTAACGACAGTGAATGCGTTTAATGTAATGTTTTAGAGGCGATCTCAAAGGAATGCTTGATTAATACTGTTTATACTAGATGTGTATTGTAGGTACAATGCTGTCTGGCTCTAATTTGATAGTTTCTCTTTTCCTTTTTCTCAGAATTTTTGATGTGTAGCTCCTATCCGGACCTCGGTGCTATGAACTTCAAGTTGACACTGCAGGAGAGGAGTTTTTAGATGCTTTGATGTGTGATTTCGAGTGAACAAGGGCGAATGTGATGTACATGCGAGAAAAGACACCAATTAAGGAAGGCGCTACACTCCCAGGGAAGTCACACCATTATTTCTTTGAGACCCACTCAAACTCTGACAAAGGGCATGAATCAAACCAAACCCTTAGGCGAGGGCAGGAAAGAAAAAGTGTATGTGTGCGTGGTGTTATGTGACTTGCTCCGAGTCTGTATCTATATGTGTGTGTGTGCATGTGTAGAATGCATTCAGCACAGTCGAACTTTGAGCCCGGGCAGTAACAAACACGATAAGACAGTCAGTGAAGGAAAAGAGGAGACATTTTCAGTGGATTCTTCAACCAGGAGGAAGATCAAGAGGAAGTTCTTGAGACAGACAAGGTGACACTCTAAAGCGCTCGGCATACTCGCCGTTGCCGACCTGTCGCGCGACAATGTGACGTCACAGGAGCGCCGTAACTATTTATACTTGCGCGTGGTGGTCGCGACACTAGTTGCAGTCTTCTCCTGAACAGAGGTGTTGCTACTGAGGAAAGGCTACCGACTTTGCTATTTCTAGGCACTAGAAGAACTAGAACTAGAACTTTTTTTTTTTTCAAAATCGGTTGCGGAGGTTCTTCCAAATTTTCCAGCATATGGCCTCCTCTTTTCCAACATTCATTACGATTTCTCGCCATGAATTCTGGCACCTCTGGGCATCTCTGTGTTCCTTCATTGAAGGATCGTACAGATCGTCCATCTTCCTGTTTCCGGTTTGTCGGAAAAAAATAGTGGTGCGCAACCTGGCGTGACCAGGCCAAAATCCTTGCACGCCAGTGAGATCTACGTCATTTTGACGTCACGTTGACGCACGACAGGTCGGGAATGGCGAGTACACACGAGCCTTAAGCCATAAGGCATAAGGGGATGTTCGCACCAAGCACTTTTGTGCCTGTTGGCCTTTTAATCAAGCAGGTGATAACCATTATTTGGTATGCACCAAATACCTGTACTAGCTTTGCCTGAAAATCTGTGTCTACTGTGGTGTATTTCATTACCAGTCAGAATATCTGAACCAAACTGCCTGCACAAAAACAACTGCAAACTACTTAATGCCAGGAGTATAGGGATCTTGACATTCAGTTTTTTAACCTGGGAAAGCTGAATATACTAAAATGAACACAGTATAAACTTATGTCCATTCATTTTCAGTTGTTTCTAAATGTGTTTCTATTTGATATGAACCACAGAAGGTAAATTGACACTCAGACAGCAGTCCACTTTTAACTAAAACTATAGATGTTTAAAGTAGTTTACCCTCCACCACGTAAATTAATGCCGTATTCTGACAGCGTATTCTGACAGGTCACCAATGTTGAGTCTAATGAAGGAGCCTTCTATGAGTCAGTGTAACTTCTCTTTGCTCTGTCTTGCTTGTAATACAAACTCTGTACGCTACTCTCCTGCATAGGAGTTCATCTGAATGATACGTTAAATGAAATGTATGTAAATCTTATGCTGCATGTCAACCAGTCATAGATCAAGAAGATTTGTCTTGTTGCAAAAATTAAATGTCAAAAAACGAGAAAAACCAAAAAGAATAAATCACAGACAAGAGGAATCTGCCACAACTGTATTACTGACTCAGTGGAGTGTGGTTCATGGGAATCAACCACATGTAAAAATGCTACAAAGTTAACTTTTCACCTCTCACAGCACACTTCAGAGTCCTAATGAAAGGATCAACACTGGTTACAATAGTAATAGCAATTAGTATTATAAATTAGAAATGGGCACTTTCAGCTGCCAAGTTGGCACTGTGAGAGTCAACTTCAAAAGGGGGGGGAAAAAAAGCTTTGTAAATGAGCCGTGTCCAGGTTAGCAATGATTGGCTTGTGCAGTGACAGTGACAGCCCATCAATAACCCCAGCGATGGCAGCTGGGCTGCTGTTATCTGTGTGAGCCCCACACTTCAGTGCTAGTGAGAGAGAGTGTTTTTCTGTATTTATAATGCTTTAGTAAGTAGCTGCAATAAAATATGAACAAAACAAAGCCAAATCTGTATATCCTCTGGCTGGGCTGGGTTATACTAGTTGTATAAACATCAAACATATCAAATTCACATCTTTATAGTAAATATCAGGGATGCATCAATGTATCGGTATTGGTATAAATCTTATCAAATTACACCAGATGATCCACACTTTCCACCATGTTGATTTTTACCTTATTTACATACCAACATGACAGCACTGTTGGGCACATTGCACAAGGCTGTGTATAATCACTCAGTTGCGTAACAGTGGAATTAATGAACTACAGCTAAAGACAAGGATCTGAATCACGATATCCTGGCGCCTATTACCATATCTTTGTTTGTGAATGAGTGTCTAAAACCCAGTGCAATTCACAGTTTTGTGTGTAAGTGTGGTATATATATGTATGTCACTAGTTGTCAGAGAGCCCAGAATTCATGGCTCTCCTCCAGACAGTGCTGCATGGTTGTGCAGGAAGGACATCAGATATCACTTACTACATTTTAATAGCCTACACCTTAACGAAACAATGTACTTTCTATATTTTACATGAAATTACAACTCATTTACAAGTCAGCCAAGTCAATTTTAATGACTTAACTTCATCTCTAAAGATCTTAAATCAGCACATCACAAAAGGGATTTTGGGGGTTAGGGTTCATGGAGAGATGATTAGATAGAAATTCATAATGTAGCCACTGCTGGTTTTACTTCACACTTTCCTGAGTTTGAAAGGATAAATAGAGAAAAATAATGACATTTTTCAAAACCTCTCAAATGGAAGAGGTTTAGCAATTGCTAAGTTACGGTTGCTATGGTACAGGATAATTAGAGAGCATGCACATGAGGGTGTGACTCAGCACTATCAGTGTACGAATAGGAGCCAGTGAATAAACATTAAGAGGATGTGAAATAAAGCATTGTTTATGCAGCTGCTGCCTCCGTCGAGTAAGTAGCCTATGCCAGAATCTCAATTCTATTCCTGTTCTTCAAGACTGTCCAAGGAAGAGGGAAGCAAAAGACCAGAAACCAGCTTTTATGGATGCTTATATAAATGCAGATGAGAAGTCCAGAGTCCTTAAATCTGTGAAAAAGTGAGTACACCCTCCAGATAAGATGCAGGGGTTTGTGTTTGAGTTGGGAGAATGCAGTGATCTGTTCACAGCGTTGATATATTTAGCAGAGATTAAGAACCATGTGATGCAACAGCAACACAAATGGTTGAAAGATGCACTTTCTGTTTTGTGATTTTGTGTGGTTCAGTGTGCAATTCATTTAAAAGAGGACAAGTCGATTCTACACAGTGGCAGGTAACATTAAAAGATGACTCATTCAACACTTTTCTATGTCAAGATTCTCTCTTCACGTTACCTATTCCCTCTGCTTTTCTATTTTACACTTTAGGATGAGCATTACAGTCTCATTATGCGTGTCGTGTATATGGAAGCAGACCTCCATTTCCTGAGCTACATTCTCTGCAATTTACCCTTTCCATTTTTTGGATGAATATCTTCTATAATATTACATTTCACTTAATGGTATGTGAGAATGTATGTCTCTAAGGGTTTTTCACACTATGGCTATGTAATAACTGCACATTGAAAAAGCTGCTTCAAATATCTATCATTCCCTGCTCTGCTATGATCCAGTTTTAACACTACTGGGCTTTGGCAGCGAAAGGTGCTATAAGAGCAACTTGACATTGTGCATTGTCACATGATTCCCTGTCTACAATAGTCTTTCTGTGAGAGCTCAGCACAAGAGGGATAAATCTGAATAAGCGCTGAAAATATATAAACATTTCATGGCTGGTTTTTCAGGAGATGATATTTGAAAGTTTTGTTGCATCTTTCCTCTTTGTTCCTGTCATGTAAATGGCACAATCTCTGTGGTTTGAGGTAGTTTTGTTCATATCTGTAAATCCTCAGGGTCATCCTCAAGAAAAGCACAATGTACTTTAGTAGAGGAAAATGGAGATCTACTGGTGCATGACCCGATCAATAAGTGAGACACGGACTCTCGGTTGGGGTGTTACAGATTTCTTTGTATTTATCTATCTAATTCTGCCAGCAGCAACCAATGCGTCACTGTCAGTCTGCAACTGGAAGGATACAAAAGAGTAAGACTCAGCCAGTTCCAGGTCACATGGGGTGAGGCGCTGGACTTCACAAAACTCTCTGAGCAGGATGGGAGAGAACTGCCAGAGGCAGTGTGGTGCAAAGCCTCAGATTACACACTGGTAGAGAAGCTAATTGGCCAGCAGTGTGTTTTAAGTCTAGTCTGATTTAACTCATTCATTAATTGCTTGTTTGTATGTATCCTCTGCAGCCATAAGAAACTACAATGAAATTATGTACTTAGCCCACAATGGACCTCATTTATGAAATACTTAGTGATAAAGAACATTGTTTGCTGCAGCAGGAAAACAACTCAACCGCCATCCTCTGAGCAACAAAAACTTAATTTTGGGTGTTGGTACATTTTAAAAGGGTGTATTACTTAAAAAAAATAAATAAATAAATACACAAGTACAGACTGAATTTTGTCTTGCAGGAGATTTGAATTACCTGATACTTGTACAGGTTTGGTTGTAGAGATAGAACAGCCAACCTTCAGCATAGTGAGACATTTTAACAAGGAGTTCAGGTCCAATTATTGACTGACCAGATGTTGTATTCATATTTCAGTGCACGGTTGTCATGTCAACGAACAGAAACTGAAAAGAATACATTCATATCACTTTTCAGGCGGACACTTAGCGAGGGACAAACTAATAAGCTTTTGGGTACTGTATTACTGTTCCCCAGTAGAGGTCTGTTTTTTAGGCTGTTTTGCCTGGAATAGAACAAGTATTACGAAGACAAAAGGACAATGTGTGTGTGTGTGTGTGTGTGTGTGTGTGTGTGTGTGTGTGTGTGTGTGTGTGTGTGTGTGTGTGTGTGTTATTAAAAAACGGATACAACGCCAGCTTTTCAGAATATATCTGAACTTGTTTGACCATGCAAGGAGGCAACGATGGGCCACTGACCGGAGTTACGGCAGGTCAATTAACCAGTGATATTTGCAGTCATGGGCATTGAGTTCAGCACAACATCAGTTATGATGTGCAGTGACGGCTGCCAGTGCAGCTGTCACACTGAACACCAGTGCAGTTCAGGTGGCCACTGGCCGGCCATGGCTGGCTGCTATAAAACACATTTTACAAACAACACTATCACACCTCGCTGAAAAGTAATTTAAAATAGATAAAACCAGATGGCATAAAAGAAGATGCATTCAAAGATGAAGCCAGGCATTTGCTGTTATTCACATACCGTCAGGGGCGTGACTTTATGTCTAAGTACATATTTGTGTAAATGATTGCTCCGTGTAACGTTTAATTCAAATTGGTGCCTGTATCCTTATCATATATTCATGGGACCACTCAGCATGCTATGCAGTATTTACATTAAGACCCTTTGTAAAGCATTACATAGTGAAGCACTTCAAGTTAGTTGCACCGCCTGGGGCAAGAGCAGAAGCAGGAGGCCTCTGCAGATGCCACCAACTCACTGATTACCAAAAGTCCAAAAATCACTGCTACTGCTAGAAACAGTGTGTGCTCTTCATTTTGCTGCACACATATTACTTTGCACTCTGTCTGTCTGGGCAGAATCTATAGGGCAACAAAAATTACCCGCACGTAGATGTTTGAGTGTTTCTCCGAAGCGTTTAAGGCTTGATGTATGCTATTATAAAAGCAGTGTGACGGCGGCTGCATTGTCAGCACTCTGCTGTTCTACTGGCTGATGGAGGCTGGGGGCTGTTTGAGAACTGGCTGACTGAGGATATGACAAGATAAAGAATATTAAATTACATACTTCCAACAATAATTACTTTTTAAATTAAGCATCTACGTATTAAGGGAGATTGGTTAATTTTTAATGATTCTCTTGGGACAACTTATCCTTCTTTTCTCTCTTTTGACATGGTAATTACAACATCTCTAAATGTGATTTTTTTGTGTGTGTGTGTGCTACTTTATAGTTTAAGAACAAAATAAAAACAATCCATATCCATATCGCATTTACTGATCCTCCTGAATGACAGGCCGACATGATATCATCATGTCTTTTAGATCATGCTCAAGAAAATCTCATTGGTTGCTTTTAAATTGAAGATGTGTCTGCAGCATCGTCCATGAACCAGTGTGAAGTAGTTCTAATGAGGCTGAATCATCTTGTAATATATGACTTCATCCTCAGCCTATTTCTGTGCGATGGAATCAATCTCCAGGAAAAACAGGATAGGACTGTCGATGTGTCAGTGTGTCAGGGTGTGTCTGTGTGTGTGTGTGTGTGTGTGTGTGTGTGTGTGTGTGTCTGTGTGTGTGTGTGTGTGTGTGAGTGATGTTGTGACAAGTTCATTCAACCTTTAGACAAATTTAATAGTACTCCCTCCCTCTACTTTCATATTGAACCGTCGTTCATATTACACAGCCTTCGAGGAACACGGAGCAATCAAGGCAAGAAAGCAGACACTCCTGAGGCACTGTTCCAAAGCAGAGTCTAATTTTTTTCCTGTTTGTTTTCCTGCCCCCTGCTTAATCAGATATACAGATGGACAATCACCCTGATTCACCCCTGTAGAGGGTTAATAAAGCGAGGTGGGGGAGGTAAATGTACAAGTCCAAATTTAACGTTATGGATGGTTTTCTTTGGAGAGATAAATATTCCCCTTCTGATAAATACAGCTTCTCAATTGTGCATGATGACTGAAATCAGGCGTGGAGAAAAGTACCAGGTCGCGCTGTGAGGCTGAGCCGAGTTCATGGCACCATCACCACAGAGAAATTATTTAACATCACTTTTAATTAAGTCAGCCTACAGAGCAGCTCATTACAATGGAAGGTTGATTTACTCAGTGTATTTCAAGCTCAGTTCAGTACAGTGGCTTTTCTGCCAGTGTCTGTGTCCATTCAGGCTCCATGCTTATTCACTGCATGAACATTACAACATACATGACAGCGGTAATATGGGAACTGACTGCAGAATAAGTATAGCACTGGTCTTTTGATTAATTAGTGTAAATGACCTCCAAAGAGATACCAAGTAAAGGCAGCATAAAGGCATTTTCTTAAGGTTTAACTTGCCCTTCATGGAATTAATTCATTCTTAATGCACCAGAGTGATCCTCCATAATGTTGGTGGGTAAGGGTGAGTAGGGGGTAAAGTGCATAAGTTTTTCAGCATGAAGAAAAAAGGACCTGGTTTGACACTGGAAGTGCAAAAGCAAGGGTGTTGTGGTTGGAGAAATGAATCACTGCTTTTTTATCTTCAGCTTCACAACCTGGGTTCAACTCCCAGCTTGTACCATAAGTATTTTATTATACCTGAGGCTGAATCTTTTTATTTATTCATTCAACGCAGACCAAAACCTGACATTTACCTTAGTCAAATTCAGCGTTGGGCTCACTACTCAAAAAAAGTAATGTATTACACGTAACTCATTACTTTGTATCAAAGCTTTGGTAAATCCATATAAGTATCACAGCCATACAGCACACTGTGTTTTGCACAGATGACTATTACTGTCGCACAACGTGCTCAGGATGAAGAAAATAGAGAGGGGCGAAGAGAACAGACAAAGCAAGGATGCACGATAATCATCAGGGCAGATAAATTATTGGCCTATAATGGGAAAATGATATCATTATGATTTATTGGGATAATTAAATTACAACCAATAAATTATCGGTCTAAAATAATAATAATTTATTTTGAATTCTTTACGATTTATAAACTTTACTAGAAAATAAGTTAACATTTAAAGAGTCAGAACTGTTGTTTGTTGTTTTGTTAACATTTGGTTAGGTCAGAGCAAGGGAATATTAAATCATCCATCCAGCTCAGTTTGGATTGGAGTGGATATGTTTGTTCAAATATGTTCTGTGCTTTAGTGGCGCTTCATATTGTAGCCTTTAGTTATCACCACAGTCTGCCTATGGGAAGAATAGATATGTAAGAGTTTGTCAATTCTGGAATAAAGCTTTTTTTTGTTGTATACGTATCTCTTTTTAGAGCAAGCAATGTGAAATTACTATTTTCTGATTTGC